AGAATCTAGTAAGCAAAAAAAACCCGCTGTCTTTTGCAGCCCAAGGAACCGAAAATGGGTTGGCAGAGATGAGATAGGAAACAGAGGGGAGGATAAGGCCCTGGGGGCTTTGCATGCATTTACTTGCTTTAATTGGCAGGGTTGAGGCCCTGTGTCCCTCTGGAAAGTGCCACGTGATCGTGGTTTTTTTTTTTTTTTTTTTACCCCTTCACACCTCCCGTATCCGTGTTTGTGTCCAGAGTGAACGTTGATCTCTCCTGAGTTGGGCTGAGGGCTGCTCAATAACCCTGTTGATTCTAAGTAGGGTTGGAATTGTTTAAATACAAATAACAGGCAGGAATAAAGTTCCCTGGGAGGTATGTTGTGAGTAATTACCTACTACAGGCTGTGCCAATAGGAAGTAAATGTAGAGCAGCTAGGGTCCTCGTGATAAGTGGGCACTTGGAGCAAACTTCAAACCATTGAGGGAGGAAAACCCAAAGAGGCCAATTTGTCTCCATTCCTGCCTTGCCAGAAGTGTATCCTTTAGCAGAACTAAATAGTCTTCGCTTTATTGTTCTTCTGTATGGTTAATTATCCAACCCAGCAATGGGATTTGATTTATAACACCAAGAAACTCTCTAGAACCAATGCAGAACAAGGTGGCTCCTACATAACCCTGTAGAAGTTAGTATTGTTTTGGTTTGTTTGCTTGGGTTTGTTTTTTAAACCTATCATATCTTCTGCTTTTTAGGATCCCAAAGAGTTACTAGAAAAATTGGAAAAGAATGAAAAGAAGCTGAAGAAACAGCTAAAGATTTACATGAAGAGGGTCCAAGATTTTGAAGGTGACTTTGCTTTTGTTGGAGGTTGTGGGTGGAGGAGCAGCATTCTGCTTTTGCTGCTTTGGCCAGCCTCAGAGAACTGCAGATTTCCACTCAGAGTTTTTGCTCCCTCTCCTAGCAATTGCTGGTCATGGCTCTAGAGTTGCTGTGCTTGTGATTTTTCAGTCTAATTATGTGTTATTTTCTTGACTCTACCTGGGCTTCAAATTTTATGTAACTCATCTATTCACATCCTCTTTTTCGGTGTGTTAACATTTATTTTAGCCATCTAGGGTCATACTGTCGGATTGTACAGTTTGGACTCTATTTGTAAAACAGAGACAAGCAAATTGAGTAGCTGCTGGTGGAAATGGAAACTTGCAGTAAGAAATACTAGTTTAAATGAGAGGAGACCTGGAAGTCCAGCTGAAGCCCACAAGTGGTGCAACCTCCTCCTTGTAACTGCTGCTGCCACCTTCACCTTGGACATGAATCCAAAAGTGGGCTAATAGGGGAGTAATGTCCCTAGCTCTGCTGGAGTCTTTGATCAGATAGGGACAATTTAACAACCCAGTCCAGAAGCCTGGAGCCTCCTTTATCTTTCCAACATGCTTCCTTTGAAGCTTACAGAAGGATGTGGGGAAGTGAGGGTGGTGGAGACGCTTGCCCTGTGCTGGGCTTCAGGTGGTATTTCAGATCTTGGCACTTTATTACGGTCAGTGCTGTGACCCCAGCAGAGATTGAGAGAAGAGCTCAGTGGCTACTAGAAACCTCTGTTCTTGGAATTTGGGGGGATTAAAGATACATAGTGGTTTTTTGCTTTGTTTTGTCTTTAGTTAAAAAAAAGCTCATGCTCAACATCTCAAACAAGACATCTGTGCTATGTAAAAACAGCTTTTCTTTCTCTGTTGAAATGGTGATTAACCAGAGAACTTTCTCATGAGCTAATTTCTGAAAAACAGACATTAAGTGAAATTAAGTTGGATAAATGGAGGAGTTCCACAGCTAGCATAACTGGTCTTTGTCACTGTAATTTGTATGCATCAAGCTGATGTTGCACAGATATTTTTTTCAGACATATTTTTTCCTCTGTGAAAATGGTGCACTAAGAAGATTCCCCCAGGGTTATGACCCTCCAGCTGGAGTCTGGGTTTCCTTAGAAAAGTAGAAAATTGCTCCATCTTTTGTTCCTAGATCTGACTTTTGCATTCGTTATTTTGTTCTGAGACAGTTGGCATGGAATTCAAGATCTATTTTTTTGAAAGGTCTGTCCAAAGCTGAGGACATTTTTGGACTTATATATAACAAATCTGCCTGGTGCTTGGTCTAAGGCCAACGGATCAGCTCTAACATTTTGTCTCTTCTCCTCGCAGCATCCCAAGCAATGGTACAGATGGAGAGGAGGCAGCACCAGCTCAACCGGCAGGTTGCAGTCCAGAGGAAGGAGAAAGATTTCCAGGGAATGCTAGAATATTACAAAGAAGACGAGCCTCTTCTCGTGCGAAACCTCATCACAGGTGAGCAGCCTAGCGGCCGTGTCTCATGCTGAGGGAGGTTATAAACTGGAAACTCAGCTGAGAGAGGTTTTCCAAGGTTTTAGACTTCAAAATAGGCAAACTGTGATTGTGCTGATTTGAAGCCAGATCAGAAATTAGCTAATGCCCTGAACTGGCAAAACGCTTATGCTCTTTGGGGAGAACTGTGACCATGAAGAGCAGACAGCTGCATGTGTCTGCAGCCTCCTTCCCCCACCCTAACCCAAATGCTTTGGTCTCCCCACGTTTGGGAGAATGGGGTAGTATAATTCCTTACTCTGCGGTGGTTTGCGTAGACAGACCTCCATTCTACTGCTGCTCTTACTCTGGAGATAGGTTTTTTTTTTCTGCTCTTCCTTTAGATGAGCTCTTCCTTTAGCCTTAGAGGCTGCAAGTTTCTGCAGGAACTGTCTAGATTCAGTATCTTGAGGAAAAAAATGAATGGCAAAGTTAAACTTATTTTTTTTTCTTTAACCTGCATGAAGCATTCCTGAGAGTTTCAGGGAGTTTTTCCAAGATTGGTGTATTGGCTCGGATAGCCATTCATAAGGTAAATAAGATTCTGCTGAGTACCACGAGTGCCACCAAAAGGTGCTGCCCTCCTGGACCCCAGTGCTCCATCCTCCTGCCTTAGCTGGCTCCAGCGGGTTGTCCAGCTGCTGTTGCACCTCTGGGTCTGCATCTGCACCACGAAGCTGAAACCTCAGCTTCCCTGGGGTCTTGCCCAAGGACTTCTCCAGCAGACAGCTGGCAAAATTGGCTTGTGTTTTGCTGAAGTTCTAGATCTGAAGCCCCAGACGGTGTCTGCCACCGTCCCTTGCCTCCCCGCCTGCATCCTCTACATGTGCATCAGGCACGCGGACTACATCAATGATGACCAGAAGGTACACTCCTTGCTCACCTCCACCATCAACGGCATTAAGAAAGTAAGTACTGAAGGTGGGTTCAGGTTGGCTCTGACTTGCGGTGAGATGGACATGACCACGCAGCTCTCGAGGTGATTTCCAAACCCACTCCCTGGCCTTGATTGCTTTTTAAGAAGAGCAAGGGGATGATTTGCCTACCAGGACAGTGCAGAACTGGAAATAAACCCTAGACTTTGTTAATGCCAGTTTATTTGCCAGATTTGATGCAGGAGATGAAGGTATCTCATCTTTGTGTTCAGGTATAGATGGGGCAAATGTATGACAAACTTGAACCTTGAGAAAAGCGCTATTGCCCGATCAAGAAGTATCCCTCACACCGCTTTTGCTGCTGCACTTCTTTCCAAAGGCAAAAATGCAGGTTATCTTAGCAAGGAAGGCAACGCTAATTGCACTTACAAGCAGTTAGATTAAAAAGCTGTTTACAGAGAACAAAAAGGGAATGTCTTCAGTAACGCTGGAAACTGTCACCTTCATGTGCCACTGAGGAGGGGTCTCACGCAGTTCTCTTTGCTCCTGCAGAAGCACAACAAGAACTTTCAGATGACATCGTTTTGGCTGGCTAACACGTGTCGCCTCCTGCACTGCTTAAAGCAATACAGCGGGGATGCAGTGAGAAACTTCAGGATATTTGCATTTTTTGAGGAATTTTGCTCTGGGCTAGCATCATTCTCCCAGGGCTCATCTCTGGCTGCCTGCTGATTCCTTCTTTTATTTGGATATAGCAGGAGGCAGCTCCAACAGAGCCTCATGAGACATAGCACAGTGGCAAGATATTTAAGAGCACAAACCAGGACCCTTATAGCCTAACCCACATTTTTTTCTGACCAGTACTAGCAGTGTTTTGAATTTTATAGCCAATCTTACAATGTGATTCATCTGAGCAGGGCAATCCCTCCTGGTAGACTGCTTTTGAAGACTGTTCTCTTGATTTCAGTCCTTTCATTACTCAGAGGAAAAGTGTTGCAGTTTTATTTCTTTTTATTTCTTGCAATTTTATTTCTGAATAAACATTGGCATTGGTATTAAAACTTATAATAAAGCCAAATTATGCCATTTTTTATTTACTCTTAATTTGTGTTAGATATATTGAGCTAACAAGCTTCAAGAATAAAGAAGAATTGAGAATACAAAGCAAAGTTGTCTTGGAATCAAATTAACTGCTCAGATAAAGACACTGTTTGGTTTATAAAACTGTATGTAGAAGTTCTAAATTTTAAAAAGTAACAATTTAGGTAAGACTTAGTAATAGTTAGGCTGCTATTCGCCCTCTTCTGCCTGGATAGCAAGAAGAGAATTTAAATAATTTAAAGAGAATTATTCCCAGAATACCGGTTGGGGGGAAAAAAATGAAAGCTTAAATTTCACGTTGCTTGTTCTGGTTGTGCAGTGTCAGCTGAGTCAGCTATTTTCAAGTTGGGTTGATGATTGTGTACAAAAACAGAGGGGGAGAGAATCATTCCCATCTGAGTGGTTTCCCAGAATAAAGTTTGCTTTAGTTGGAAACCCAGCTGATTTTTAAGAAAGTAAATTTAAAAGGAAACTCCAAGCGATTTTGACTTTTTGAAGCTCCAAGAGCATAACAATTTTTTCTTTTTTTATTTCTGTGGAAAAGTGTGAAATTTGGAGGTCAGCTCAAAATGTCATATTTTTGCATTTTGCTAGTCAGCAAAATAAATAAATAGTAGCACAGCGCTCATTTTGACACTAAATTGGCAAGACTACTATGTGAATGGGTGATTAAAGCACCTGTGCTAATTACAGATTTAAGTGAGGTCACTTGTGCCTTTGTGAGCAAAATTGGTTCTAGTCCTTAATGTAGGAGCTGTTTGCAACACTAGGGGATCTGCTGCTTTTTTAGCTAAAGACTGGGGGAAAAAAAATCAGCTGCTAGAGGAGATTTATGGACTTTAATTCAATCAGTTTAAAAAGCTGACAAAAAGCACATGGTTAGACCAAATTGTTTCCTCTTTTTTATGGGAGGATATATAGCTTTCCTTTTCTGGAGCTTAATCTCTAACTGAAATATTTAGGGTTTCTGTCAAAACATTCTGAAGCTCAGAGATAAACAAATGGATAACCAAGAGTTTCTCAGAGCTCTAACAAGTCGTTGCTCTTTCGGATATGTATTGCAATTAATACAGGTATATTTCTCCTTGCTAAAATTCAGATAACAAGCTTGCTACTTCATGACTGCTTACTGCTTCAAAAAGCAGTCCTCTCACAATAATTATCAAAAAATCACATCTATAATATAGTCTAAAAATGTACATTGTTAACGTATCTGGATGCATTATATTCTGAACTTATTTTTTTAATACAGTGATTTTACCAGCTGATGAATAACCTGTTTTAATCTTCTTCTGTTTAGGGATTTATGACCCAAAACACTGCTAAGCAGAATGAGCACTGTCTCAAGAACTTCGACCTGACCGAGTACCGCCAGGTGCTGAGCGATCTCTCCATCCAGATCTATCAGCAGCTCATCAAGATAGCCGAGGGAATATTGCAGCCCATGATAGGTCAGTGGACTGTGCATTAGCCTTTAGGAGGGTTTTCAGCTTTAACTGGATGCTCTGAGTGTTTCTCTGACCTTCCTGCAGTGCTAGCAATGATTCTCCCCAAAGGAAAGCCAAGAAAGGTGTGTTGCAGAAAGAAACCAATTTGTGGATCCATTCCCTTATGAGACTGTCCAGCACCCACCGTGTTGTTCCACTTTGAGACTGCTCTGTGTTTATGACAGCCCATAAAATTCACTGCAGAAGGAGCAGTTTCTTGCCTCTTGTGATGAGTGGGTTTTCTCTCTCTCTCTCTCTCTCTTTTTTTTTTTTTTTTTCTCTCTCTCCTCTCCTTCTTCCCCTTCCTGTCCCAGTCTCTGCAATGCTGGAAAATGAGAGCATCCAGGGGCTTTCCAGCGTGAAACCAATGGGCTACAGGAATCGCTCCTCCAGCATGGAGGACAGCAACAGCTCGTACAGCTTAGACACAGTCATCTACCAGATGAACAGCTTCTACAGCATCACGTGTGATCAGGGCCTGAACTCAGAGATCATCCAGCAGGTCTTCAAGCAGCTCTTCTACGTGGTCAATGCAGTCACCCTCAACAACCTGCTGCTGCGGAAGGACATCTGCTCGTGGAGCACTGGCATGCAGCTAAGGTGGGTCAGGGGCTCGAGGCTACAAGTTCCCTCTCAGCTCTCAGTACAAGTCTGACCCAAGCTATTTATCCAGGTTTAACATAAGCCAGCTGGAGGAGTGGCTGCATGGGAAGAACTTGCAGCAGAGCAGAGCGGCACAGACGTTGGAGCCCCTGATTCAGGCAGCACAGCTCCTGCAGCTGAAGAAGAAGAGCTCGGAGGACGCCGAGGCCATCTGCTCCTTGTGTACCTTGCTCACCACCCAGCAGGTAGGGGCCAGAGGGGACACATTGCTTTAGCAGATATGACACGTTTTAGTGGTAGCTCTTCTGACAGATTGGGATATTTCACCTGCTTGGGGATTAGAATTTCAGAGCTGATTCGCTGTTGGCCTTTGGGTTCCCTTCCAGCATTTGCCTTGGCAGCAAATGCCTATCTCAGCTCACAAAGCCACCAGTTGTCTTCTAGGTTCTCATCCATCTTGTCCTGTGGGATCCCCAGCAAGAATTCACGTTTGGGCCAGGATGTTGAGAACTGCAGTCCTTAAGGCACCAGTTAATTGCACTGAGTGGTTCTGACTTGAACTTTTAGACTTCAGTCCAACAGTAAGAAGCCCCAGTTCTTTGCTGTTGGATAGTGTGCCATTTTTTTTTTGATAATGGTGAAATAAGGGAGGCATGGGTTGATCTTCAGTGATCCTCATGGGTCCTTTCTCCTATGTCTCCCTCTTCATAGCCTGAATCTGTCCATGGCAGAAGGTGAATGGTGATAGGGGACGTTGAGGACTTGCAGTAGGAGTGAGTTAGGATCAGAAGGGTTGTGGAGGTGATCTCAGTTGTACTGGGAAGCAGTCAGCTATTCTGAACCTCCCTGAGTCCCCATGGGCCAACCCAAGGGATATCCCTAGATAAATCTGTTGTTCAATTTTATTCCTGGTTTACAAATGTTATCATAAGAAGGAGTTTTGATGGGTATGTAAAGGCTTAACCTTTACAGCAGGCAAAGGAGCACCAGATGACATTTGGGCTGTTTCCTAGGACAGGTTCACAAAAACATGGCAAACATGCATATTGTAAGCAATGTTTATAAATATGCAAAGCATAATACATCTCACTTTCTACAAGCAGATTTTCCTTGGCTATTGTATTTCATCAATTCTGTGCAGATCTCAGGCTGATCCACAGCACAGAACATGCTGACGCGCAGACCTACCACGCCTGCCACCCCTGTGACTTCCAGGG